TTATTTTTATTGTTCTTTTATTTTATCCATGTTAGGCTAGACTTTTTAATGTACTAGGTGAACGATGAACATCGCATTGTGAACTTTTAATTTATATTTTGCAATTTGATATTTAAATACGTTTGATGGATGTCGAATGATTTATATACGCTTTCTCGCATCCACGATTATAGTGCACGATAATTGTGTGAGTTTTGATGATTTATTTTATGCATTCGAAATAAGGGAAATAAATTCAAAGAGGTATAAATCATTGTTTTGTTCATAGATGATAGAAATATATCGATATGCATTACGTGAATCTTTAGGTGTTTACAAAACGTCATACATTCTTGTATATTACATTTGTCATAAAAATATAGTCAAATGGTTTACAAGAATATGTTCAATTCTACTCGAAAAAGATTGTTGAATAAGTTAGAAATATTGATTCTTTAACCAATTTATCGTGTTATTAAATTGTGAAATAAAGGTTAAAAGGGAACTTTACTTGGTGATTCAGGATTTTAGTGCGCTTTTTCATACATTAGTCTCATTCAAATCCTTTGCATTGAAACGTTATCTGAGCATTGAAGTCGTAATTTTAGTTTAATTTGCATGCTAGTTTTAGTTTAATCATAGAACTCGAGATTTTAGGATTTTCACTTTATTACTTGTCAACGATCCATACACTTGCAGTAATTTAAATCCGAAACATATTTTCGTCACACCTTCTAACCAATTCCTACTTTATAACTCCTTTATTTGATGGAAATAAACACATCGGACTTTCAATGTAGGAGAAAAAATACTGCAGGAATTTTGTACGGGTTATGCTAGGGACCCTCGGCATCTTTATATACGAAACAAGTACGAACATCCATCCATCAAAGATGTAGTTGTCTTCCTACAATAACATCCCTGGAATAAATGGGAAGTTATTATTGACATTTAATAAACTCACCATTTAACATTTATCATATTTGGAATTGAATGTGCCATAAATGTTTACATTCTCCACTTGATCACATATTCAACAATAACTTTGAGGCGAGTACTTTATAGGCATATACTAAAAACGTCAATAACCTACTCAAATAGAAAGACACAATACTTGAATCAAGGTGGTCCTATTTGAATAATCAAACATTTCCTTCCATGTTTTACAGGTATGTTCATTTCTAAAGGAGTACTTTACCTTATGAATGAAT